CTGGTATGACACTGTTAATGTTCTTACGAATTATGATGAATAAGTACAAACTATGGCAAACAGATATAGTGAGATAAAAATTGATGGTCATATCAATCCAATGGAAAAGTATAAAAAAGGAAAAATAATTTGGAACATAAACTCAGATTACAATGCCTAAGAATTACAAGTGTACACTGAAAAAGATAGGATGACAAAAAAAAGAGGGATTTATCGCTTTTTACCACTACATATCCATCACTTTATACTGGAGCTGCCTAATACAACCCTTTCATTAAGCCAAGGAATGTTTATTCAGCACCTACTATGTTCCAAGTACAGTCCAAGGCACTGGGATACAACAGTGAACTGTACAAGTACAGTTCCTGCCCTCACAGCACTTACAGTCTAGGAGGAAAAACAAAACTAAACAATCATTCAAATAATTGCTTATTGACTACACACTGCAAAAGAAAACTTCCTAATACTCTGAGAACATGCAATATGGGGGGGCTTGTGCTTCTCTTTCCTGCTCAAGATTCCTTTCAATGATCATTTTCAGATTATAATTGGTAGGAAACCATTGCTTTTCCTTCTTTCTTTTTTTTAAAAAGATGACTGGTAAGGGGATCTTAACTCTTGACTTGGTGTTGTCAGCACCACGCTTTCCAAGTGAGCTAACCAGCCATCCCTATATAGGGATCCAAACCCATGGCCTTGGTGTTATCAGCACCACGGCTATCCCAAGTGAGCCAGGGGCCGGCCCTGAAACCGTTGCTTTTCTAGAGTAACTTCCGTTTTTAAAGTGCCATTTCCATTATCAGGAACCTACATTCCCATTATCATATACATTTCCATTTCACGCCTACCACAAACCCTATAAGGAAGGAGCTGTTACATTCCCATTTTACAGAAGAAGAAACTGAGCCCCAGTGATTTAGTTTGTCCGAGGTCATATATTCAAAAATGATGGAAATGGTTTATGCTTTTCTCACGGCACTAAAATACTTTGACTGACAAAGCATTATTTTTTCTCTCAACTCCTCCCCACGTCAGTCCTCATCACCCTGAATTTGAGGTGCGATGGTACAACTTCATGTCATGGACTCCACCCATATTAAATATTATGCACAAATAAAAGGAGATGGACTTCATCCTGCCCTCGGAAGCTGACAGGACCCTGGGTGGGTGGAAAATGGCTGTAGCCAGGCCTCGTGTCCTGTGCCCTTGCGCATAAAGACAAAGAAGAATAAGTCCACGTGGAGATGCCCCACGAAGAGGCTTTCCCCCTTCTAAGAAGGAAAGAAAGGCCACTCCACCTTTCACCTGACTGCCGCTCATCCCACACTTCAGCATGGCTCCGGGGCCTAAAAGGTAGGATCGGAACGCGCGCCTCAACTCGATGGCCCCAAGTGCCCGGATGTTGCCGCACTTTTCGAAACTTCGCTATCTCATCCCTCCATGAAGAGCAGCTTCGCTTTACGGCGGGGAAGGGCCCATACGTACCTCCGTATGGCCGTCGCGGTCAACCTCGTTTTTCATTGGTTGTGGGTGAAGGTGGGCGGGTCGCCGAGGAGTCTGAGGAAGAGGGCGGTGGCGGTTGTGGTGACTGAGCGGAGCCGGGTGACAGGATGGTGAGGACGGCAGCTGCGGCGACCGAGGCCTAGCTCTTGGCTGGGATGCTGCGTCGTTGGGAGCTGTGGGGAGTCTCAGGGCAAGGGTTTGGGCGATCCCGTAGGCCTTGGTGGGTGCGGCTCAGGCGTTGGCCTAGGAAAGGCCCAGGAGGAGGGCTAGGGAAGCGAGCGGCCACCTCTGGGTGCGGCCAGCCCTTGCCTCTCACCCCCGCCCCAGGGGCCAGAGGACGTCCGAGGGGGGAAAGGGCCCCTCTCAGCAGTTCGTCCTCTCACAAGACCCGCACGCCCGCAGGGGAAGGCCTTTGGGCCTGTGCCTTGAGTGTCCCTGAGAAAGGGGTACCGTCCCCCTCTGTTTCCAGACGTTTCCCTACTCCTTTCCCGGAGAAAGCACCTCCCGCTGTTTGGGGTGTACTGGTTACCACCCCCATGTAGCGAAAGCTGGTCTCTTGGATGCAAAATAGGAAGTGGCAAGTAGAAGTCCTTACCCATCTCTAAGTTTGCCTCTAAGGAAGGGGAATAAAAACTATCCCCTTCGCCCCGAAATAACGTGCAACTGCCATTGAAATGTAGGAGAGTGGTCTGAGAGGGCAGGATTTGGCGCTTTAAATTGCTGGAACGACTTGTTTTCTCAGGATGCTGCGACCCTAAAGAGTAGGATTCGTTAATGGTCTGTGAAGTCTTTGAATTTGTTTGGAAAATACTGTGAATATGTACCTTTTGGGGGGAAGAGGGCCAGTGTTATGCCAAGAGATTCATCCATCATATTTCCCCAGCCTCCCCCAGCCAGTTTCAGGCCATCAGCCCTTCACTCCCAATAGATTGCTACCGCTAAGACCTTCCTACATAAAATAGGGGAGCTGCTACTACAGAGGGCTCATAGCTGTAATCAGATTTTCAAAGGTCCCTCTAAAAAGTCAACTGTTTCAAAAGGAGCTCTGATTATCTTGGTATTTGTGTTGATGGAAGGAGATTATCTGTAAAGGGACAGAGGGCTCATAGCTGTAATCAGATTTTCAAAGGTCCCCCTAAAAAGTCAACTGTCTCAAAAGGAGCTCTGATTATCTTGGTATTTGTGTTGATGGAAGGAGATTATCTGTAAAGGGACTTCTTTCTCTGATAGGCATCCATTGCATTTTTAATGTTATTACTATTCTGTGACAAACGTAAACTTTTCAAGAAGTGGCTTGTAGACGTGACGGCCAAAGATTTATGGTGTATGCTTCTTTGGCTTCTTTAAAGCCCTTAATCCCACTTTTGATTTTTGCTTCTACAAAGACTCTAGTTTAAAGTAATCCAGTATACAGTAATTTTGAGACGCATCTATGAGAGAAGACATAATTACCTGCCATAATTCTATATTCATGTTTCTGAAGTTGTTTTGAGAGGCGATCATTCTTTTTAGAGTAGTTGTACTAGGACATCACTTTTCATATCAAATAGAAAGAATTAGGCAAAATTTAGCGTTAGCCAATTCTTTTATGATTGAAAGCATTTTATTTAGTTTAACATTCAGTACAGTGTCTAAAGTCTATGGGCAGCAAATTCTGGTGTGGAGAAAGTCCAGTTTTAGCCAGATGAATGTTTGTTTTTATAAAATTTGTCATCATTTTTAGTTGGCATGTTCATCACTTTATAATGTATTCAGGTGCTGTGTTATATCCTCTGTAAAAAAAAAATAATGACCTAGCTGCAGCATAATTTTCCAACTGCTAGAATTTTGAATGTAAGAGAATTAAAATCAATATGCTTGAGGAATAATTAGACCTTTAAACTATCACTGATGAATTTTCCAAATTGTCTTATAAAAGTCTAAGTAATTTTATTTTATAAAATCTTATAAAAGTCTAAATAGAATGGGAAACGAAAGGGATGGGAGTTGATGTGGAGAACAAGATGAGGAAAAGTAGAAAAAAATTGACAGGGCAAATTTATAAAAAGTATGTGTTTGTATGCTTGTGTCGTATTTAAAAATATAGCAAATGGTTCTTTCAGTATTGTTTTGAACATCGCTGATTTTTAACATTTTCTTTCATAACACTCAGACATCATTAACAATTGTTTGCGTATTCATTTGGTATGGGTTTTTTGTTGTTCTTTTTTTGGTTTGTTTCTTTTCGTTGCTTTCTTTTAACATTGGTCATGTTTCACCCTTTTTTTTCATTTCCCTGTCTACAATCAACTTCTTCATTCCACTAAGGCTGGGCACAGAGTAAGTTTCTTCTCTTAGCTCCTACTAACAATGGTGGTTGGGTGGCTGGTTACTGACTGGGTTTCTCACCCTTTTAAGGTCTGTCGAATAGGAAGTAACCAAATTCCCATGCTTTGATTGGGTTGGTTCTTTATTCGAATTTAACAAGACTGCCATTTCCAGAATCGTTTGCTGTCTTAAAGGACACTAAAATTTATGTCTTACCAGACTTGTCAAAGTGTGGAATTTGGGCAAGGAGAGTCCTCAAAGTCTGACATTTGTTATGTGACACTTTTTCCCCTATAACTTTGTCACCAGCAGAAAACCAGAGGATTCTGTCCTAGTAAGGATCTTTACTAATTTGAAATAATTTTTGTGTGGTCATTCATACAGTTATATCTTTAGAGTGCTAATAGTCGGGTACACTTGGGGATAATCCACAGTGCTTTATAGAATTTAGATCATCAGTCATTATAAAGTACCATGTCTTACTAATGTTCTTTCTGGTACATGCAGATTTTTTTGAACAGCTCATTTATTGTTAGTCCCAAACATTTTCAGCCTGTTATAGACATATACTCTTTTATGACTTTGGGGTTCTTTTTTTTTTCCCCCCTTAATATAGAAATCTATTTTTTACCTTTCTCTCAAATGCCATCTTCCCACATTAACTATGTACTTCAATCCATATCTGAAGGGATCCCTCTCTAAAATGAAGATATCCAGGTACTTTTATATTGATTACCAGTGAGAGTGGAAACTTCATAGTGGTTTTTAGTTTTACAGTTGTCTTGTCCACTAAAATCTGCAGTGAAACTGTAAATATAGTCATTGAACAAATACCAGCTGAAACTACTCTTTATAAAGAAGAAACAACAATTTCTTTTAAAGTGTGCTGATTTGGTAACCTTGTGTTACTTCAGGTACTCTATATCCTGGTAAACAGTTCCTTTTCCTTTGCAATCGTTTTTATTTTTGTTGCAAGACAAATCAAGCTGTTTTAGTAAACATTTTAATTTCACACATTTTGTTTTTTAATTTCAATTTGCAAAGTCTGTGGTGGCAAAGCTATTTTGTTTTATCCTATTAGATATTTAACGTTTTGTTTGATAATATTAAGGAATAGTCGTACCTTTAAAAGCACTTAAAGGGCATGCACATTTATGGATGGGACATACGTATGGGAAAACATTCTGTATAGAATGGAGGTGCTCATTCTAATCAACATGAATTGATTCTCTTGTCCTTTGGAAGACAGATATTTACAAATGATCTTTTTATCACTATCCTGTTAAATGGCTAAATTAAATGATGTTATTTGTCAAATCTTGAAATTATAAAATTAAAATTTTACAGCATTGATTTTTTTTTTTATTCTTTTATATGTGAAAGCAAAATTTATTTTTGTCATCTGAGACTATGTTGTAACTCTATTGCCTCTTGGTAAATTCATCACTTATTTAGCAGGTCTTTTTTGTTTTTAATGCTCAAGTGTACATGGAAGATTGTGAAATGTTATTTTTTGTTTGGAACTTTACTGAGGGTGCATAGGCAATTTAATCCAGAAAATAAAAGTATGACAGTGAGGATTTCTAAAAACAAAGGAAAGTAGTCAAAGATTATAATTCAAAAGCACAGGTTTACCTATTAAAACTCTGAAACATAGGCTGTTTGTTTTTGGTTTTGGTGGCTGGCAGGTACAGGGATCCAAACCGTTGACCTTAGTGTTCTCAGCACCATACTATACCAGCTAAGCTAACCGGCCAGCCCCTCATAGGTCGTTTTTATACCTCTATTATACAGCTAATAGTTCAAAGTAACAAAAAATGGTAGATTTTGGTCCTCCAATTAGTTGTCAGTCTGGTAAGCATAATTTTAAAAATTAACTTTTTTTCTCTAATTACAGTTTTAACAGTGCCCTTTAATAATGTTCCTGGAAAACAAAAAATGGTAGATTTTGGTCCTCCAATTAGTTGTCAGTCTGGTAAGCATAATTTAAAAAATTAACTTTTTTTCTCTAATTACAGTTTTAACAGTGCCCTTTAATAATGTTCCTGGAATTAATATATAGGTTTCACATTACAACTGCAGAAATATGAATTACCATATGAATCTCCAAAAATGCCAAATTCCATAGGGCCCAGTGGTATACTTTTCATTATGTGATTTTTTTTATTCATTATAATTTATAGGTCCCTAAATAAATCACTTTAGAATCTTGACTTATTGTTGGTAAATAGAATGATTACCTGTATTGTGTATGTGCAACTATTAATGACAAAAATAAAATAGGATTTAGAACAGAGTACATTACCAAATGTGTGTTTGTTTAAATGGTCTTGGTAGGAACTGTGTGAATAACTTCTACTTTATTGGGTTCTGGAATCTCTGATGAGTTTAAAAGGGAAGTTGGGGAGGAAAATATATTATTTTGACATTATGTTTAACCTTATGCTTTATCTTGCCTTGGCACTTTAAAGTTGGTGTTGGTATTAGGAGATCTGCACATCCCACACCGGTGTAACAGTTTGCCTGCTAAATTCAAAAAACTCCTTGTACCAGGAAAGATTCAGCACATTCTCTGCACAGGAAACCTTTGCACCAAAGAGAGTTATGATTATCTGAAGACTCTGGCTGGTGATGTTCATATTGTGAGAGGAGACTTTGATGAGGTGATGTATTTCCCTTTCCCCTCCCAAGTATTTCTCTTTCTTAATTCTCGTATAAGCTTTATTTTTTAGAATAGGTTTCTCAATTGGTAAGGTCTTTTTTTCTTTTTTAATTTTCCAAATATAAAATTACTACACATGCCCCTCACTTATTGTTTGAAAATTACTAATTTAGACTACTGAGTAAACATATTAAATACTTGTTCTAACTAAATTGATACTGAGCAAAAGTGGCTGTTACTACTTTTTGTAGTACTGTCATTTAGTTTATAAAGTTTTTATGAACTTCTTACCACTACCACATGTACTACCCTATTCAAAGCCACCCCATCACTTTCCTGTATTGCACCTTCCTGATTCTACCCTTTCTCCTTCCACAGTTTGCTCTCCTAATAGCAACCACAATGATCCTTGAGTGAAGTTAAGATCACATTACTATTTTGCGGACAACTGTCTCATGGTTCCCTTTTCCAAGGGTTGACTTTGTAAGGCATGAGAGAGTTTTGAGGGAGTGATAGAACTATTCTGTATCTTGAATGTGGTGGTACCTACACAGCTGAATGCATTTGTCAAAACTGATTTGCATTGTATGCTAAAAAGGGTGATTTTACTATATGGAAATTATACTTCAATGAACCTGACTTTAAAGATAAAAAATAAGGAGTTTTGTAGTTCCAACTTTACCCATTAGTTAATAACGAGATTTTTGACAAATTACTTCCCCTCTCTGACCCTTAGTAAATATGATTGGAATAGATGATTTTTAAGAAACTGACAGTGCTAACATTGTATGATTTAGCATGATAAACCCAACCCCAATAGGAAAAACTTATTTTGTATTTCTGGGAATATAGCTTTTTCATAAATTATTTAACTTGGTTGGTGCGTTTTAAATGGGGTCCCTTTATACCAAACTGAATGGGCATAGTGTCTTCCATTTTTTTAGTGGATTTAAAAAAGAGTTTGGATAAACTAGAGGTGGCATGCAGGTGAAAGACGGGGATAAGAAAGGAAGGGGCAAACTTCTTGTTGATAATTAGAATATAAATCTAGTCTGTTAAAAACATATTAGGGGGCCGGCCCGGTGGCGCACTGCTACAGTGCGCCGCTTGGGAGTGCAGCGGCGCTCCCGCTGAGGGTTCAGATCCCACATACAGACCGGTTCCCGCTCACTGGCTGAGCAAGGTTCGGACGCAACACCGAGGGTTGCGATCCTGTTGCCGGTCCCGGTCCAGTACGGGTGCAACACTGAGGGTTGCGATCCGTTGCCGGACACGAAAAAAGACAAAAATATTGACATATTAAATCAGCAGCGATTCTTCAAACTGTTGCTACTCCCATTTTTCAAGGTTTAACAAAATATTTAAAAACAACAGCAAAACTAAAGTTTAGCAGGGAAGCACACTAGAGTGAATATATAGTGTAAAGAATCCTCTCATTAATGCAACTACTCCCAACTTGATCTAAGAGTCCAAGTGTTTGGTTGCTGTTTTAAAACTTACTGTAAGCAAAAAAGAAATTATATGATGTATTTGTCAGATTTAAAAAAAAACAATTTTAAGTGACAAAAAAATTTTAATTGTATCTAGCTAGGAATACAAGCATATATTACACATAAATTTTATTATACCAATTTTAAGTGACAAAAATTTTAATTGTATCTAGCTAGGAATACAAGCATATATTACACATAAATTTTATTATACATACATCACTCATATATCACTAGTACATGGAACTATATCAGACCAACTACATTGTCATAAAAGCTTCTGAACAAACCAAAATTACTTAATGACTTAATAGTGAATAACAATACTATCCTAAATGTAGACAGGAAACAATTCACAACCTCTTCCCCTCATCTTTGGCACGATATTTGGATGTTGGCCAATGTTTGAATTCAGTACACAAGACAAGACTGTCAGGTTTTCATCAGATGTTCTCCCTGTTCTTCAATTGACATTGATTGCATATACTTATTTAGTAAATCTTCTTCCTTTTTTCCTTCATTCATGTATGATTCATCATCATTTGAAGAAACTGAAGGAAAAGTAAGAGTTTATAATGTCTGTTTTGGAAATAAAATTAATGACCTAGCAAAAACAAATTGCCTGCAATTTTCAAAACTCTTAATCACGTCTCCCTTCCCCCCCAATCTCTTATTCTTTAAAATAAAATACATAGTACTGTATTATAGCCAAGTTACTGTATAGCAATTTCTCTGTTACTAAGTCCTGTATTCCCATTGATTTTGAAAATTTTTTGGTTAGGGGGAAGTTAAAATGAAGTTATATCTTCTGTGTCTCTCTATTCTCCTTTAGTTCCTTTCCATCTTTTCTCTTGACATTCCCTCTTCTCTTGACATTCTCAGGACATTTCCCTCACCTGGGGTTTCCTCTAATTGTTCTTTTTGGAACCAGATTTAACCTTCTCCTCTGCCCTTTTTCTCATTTCTTGAATAGGTATAGTATGATATTTACAGCAGAGCTGGGTGAGGCTGTCATACCGTGATGAGATATTGCTTCAAAAGGCCTAAGTTCCTTACTTCCTACCCACTTCCCTATCCATTGTAGCAAACTAGGAAATTATTTAACTTCCATGTAATCCTTTCCACTCTATCAATTCTAAGGAATACTTCGGAGCATTCAGTGTCTCCTGTTTTGCCTTTTTCATTTTGCAGTATTCTGTACTTATGGTATAAGGATACTTTATGCTGACTTTTCAAACCCTGGATTTGTCTGAGTTGCATCTAAAATTTTGATCATATCACCTGTTTGGCTTGTTGAATATCAAACAAAATAGTATAAGTGATATAGCCCTTTGTAAACTACTAGATGCTATACAAAATGTGTTGTCCATCCAAAAATGGCATTATCTTATAAAAGAATTGCTATGGCTTGAAAAAGTCATGTTTGTGGCTATGGGTTCTGATAATTTCATTTTCTGTTAAATCTCTGTCCTTGCTCTTGTAAATATCTTTATTTAGTATTAGAAATATCTTGAGGGCCGGCCCGGTGGCGCACTGGATAAGTGCGCCGCTTGGGAAGCGTGGTGGTGCTCCCGCCCGAGGGTTCGGATCC